TTTTATATAAATCTTTTAACTTCAAGACAAACATGAGCTTTGCATTACAATTATCATTCTTATAATAAACATTCTTTGCATATGAGCAAGTGCTTAAATATCGAGTAAGTTGGCATAATGAGCATCAGATGAGAATTTAATTATCGCAAAGGACAAATTGCTTCAGGACACCGTTTAAAGGTAAATCATTTGTGGGAATGGTCTTAACCTGGGGCAAATTTTCTATTGACTCCACTGAGTAAAAGAATACCGGTTTGAGAAATGATCTGAAGTAGATTGCAAAAGTTGGTCGCCCAAAGTTTCTGACAAGCAGTGGTGCGTTACTTTCAGTTGGTCCCAAGGGACGTATTGCTTCAAGTATATTCTCGAGAAAGAAGCCATTCAAGTCGAGAAGTATGGTTATAAAATAACGTACTTTCAAGATATGATCCAACTACCCTAAGGTTATGTTGTCTTCACAAAAAAAATCCTCAAGCCTTCATCTCTCTGTAAGCATGGGACAAGGAAAAGATCTGTCAAGACTCTGTTGAGCAGGGGAAAGCATGTCAAGTACTCCATCGAGTAGGTATTCAGCAAATCTGAGGCATTCAAGTCGGGATTTCATCCCTCAAAGGGCAGTCAAACTGGGGCAGTTACGTCGAGATTTGACAAATCTCTCTAAGAATGCATTGATCAAAGGAGAATCTTCCCAGAATTTGAAGGTGTATGAGCACTCGCTCAAGCATAGTTGGAATCCTCTCCAATTTTGGTTATCTGAACATCATGTTCCAAAGTTCATAGCACTAGGGCAGTTATGTCAAGATTTGACAAACTAGGGAAAGAATTCATGTAAGGGCTTTCCCTCTTCTTGAGTAATTGATCAGATCAAGTCCATATGCAGGCTAAACAACCTATGAATTTGAAAATCATGCCGAGAAGTCAGGATTGTTATCTTCGACTTATCAAGGACTCAAGTCCACTTACTGATATCCTTTGTCCTAAGTCAAGATTATTACCCCAAGTTGAAGTTTGGATTGTTATCCTCAGTAAGATATGAGCAGTAACGCAAAGATTATCTGGGTTTGTTTATTCGTACAAGACTCGATGGGAACATTGCTTCCTAAGGGGATGCCTCCTCCCAGTAAAAGACCTGTTGCTACTTGACATAGACCTATCTACCAAGGGGTTCCTCTTTTGAGACATTTTCTCCCCATTGAAGCATCCTCGTTTCTCTGCAGGAGGAGAATATCCTTTCTCCCCGGAAATATAGAAGTTGTTTAAAGTCTAGTTGACCCCTTTTTCATTGGACTGCAATTTATTTTTGCAGCATCTCCTCTAAAGTCCAGTTTTTAGTGGCATTCCTCTTCGGAGTCGAAATGTTGAAGTAGCAATCTTGCATCGCAGTTTTTACCCAGTGATTGATCGTTCAAGTTGTATATTCTTCAGTAAGGTTTTCCATTCCAAACAGGGGCACGTCACCCCAATTTCTGCTTTGCAAGTACTGTTGGTCTTACATGACAAAATGCATACCAGCAAATGAATCAAGAAGGGTCTGTATGTGACTATCGTGAGGATGTTCGTATAATGAGATCCAATTTCCCCAGTGGAACTTTTCTTCTTTCCCTAATGGAGCAAGTGTCCTTTCTCTCTGGTGAGGTGTACATGAAGAATCCCAGTCATAACTCTTTCGTTACCAGTGGTAGAAGATTTTATTGAGATATCCCTAATGGAGTTTCTATCCCAAGATATTTTACCTCCCAGCAACGTTATCCCCAGTGTGGTCTGAGTAGAATTCTTTTCATACTCCCCCAACAGAAGTCATCTTTGTCAAAGAATTCCTATGCCAGAAGTTTCCATTCCCAACAAAAATTTTCCTCTTTCCAGTAGAGGATAAAGATTTCATTCCCCGTGAAGTAGGGAGTTTGATCAGAATTCAAGTTTTTCTCTGAACTACAATTTCATTTTTGTAGTATTCTCCCCAAGAAGTTACTTCCCCAGTGAGATCAATCGTTTAAACATTGATGATTTCAAATCTCGGTTCCCCATTGAAGTACAAATTGCTTTTTCTCCACAGAAGATCAAATGTGCCAGAATAATTGTCCAGAAGTTCATTGACTTCTCAGCAGCCGGCTGTTGGCCTATTTTCTTAATACATTGCATCATTACATTGCATCTACTAAAACACGTAGCACTTCCATTGAATGGAGCATCACGCTATAAAAAAAGTTCAAACATGCATGAGTATAAGCCAATTGTGCCCACTTGTGGCAACCAGATTGTTATGCGCTCAAATTTGATTTACCTCCACAAGAAGCTTAGGGTAATTCTATTATGTTTCCCTAGCAGGGTGTGTTTGGATTCACCACCAGTCGGGTCTTTGGTATTTCTCTGTTTCCCCAGCAAGTCTGTGGTTTGCGCTTGTCGTTGCAAGCATTTGGTTATTTTACCCATGTTTGCTTTGCCATTAGAGTATGAGTAAGAGTCGGTGTATAACCTTTCTAGCTTCTCAAGTGTTTGAGTATCCATACTTGGTGTGTGGTAATTCAGACAATTGCCACTCTTGAAGAATTAACACCCCGCCTTTGGCCTGAGGGATTTTTGTAGTCCTTGCGTATTTGCAACTTATCGAAAGCCCAATGTGTTTTGGAAATCTTTTTTAGAGTCTGCTTTGACCAATCTCTTTCTCTTGTAAAGTTCACCTTCGGTCGGTGCTCTCTAAAGGTCCTGCTTAGTCGGTTCCTTGTTTTGGTTTATCCGCGTTAGTCAGGTCCGCCTTTCGTTAGCCTAGCCAACTCTTTATGATTAAGAGTCTTTCAATGTCTCTTCAAAGTCCAATTTTATGGCGCCCTTGTTTAGGCGAATGCGTCCTTTTTTATTGGGGCTTTCTTCGGTTACTCTCGTTCCTGTGTTCTCTAGCAATTCTAAACATTTGTTTCTTGATGATCAATTTTGCTCTTGTGTATATAACTCTGACCATTTATACATACCTGTACCGTTTGTTGAGAGTCCCCTTCGGTTGGTCTCTTTGCAGTTGTAAGTTCGCCTTCGACCGGCGTTCTTTTCTTAGGAATCTACCTTCGGCATAGTATTCCTTGATGAAGATTCCCCTTCGGCTGGTTTCTTTATCCTAAAGTCCACCTTCGGCTGGCACCCTTTAAAGTCCACATTCGGCTGGCATCCTTTAAAATCCACCTCCGGCTGGTATCATTTTGTTGAGAGTCCCCTTTGGCTGGTCTCTTTGCAGTTGTAAATTCTCCTTTGACCGGCGTTCTTTTCTTAGGAATCTACCTTCGGCATAGTATTCCTTGATGAAGATTCCCCTTCGGCTGGTTTCTTTATCCTAAAGTCCACCTTCGGCTGGCACCCTTTAAAGTCCACATTCGGCTGGCATCCTTTAAAATCCACCTCCGGCTGGTATCATTTTGTTGAGAGTCCCCTTCGGCTGGTCTCTTTGCAGTTGTAAGTTCGCCTTCGACCGGCGTTCTTTTCTTAGGAATCTACCTTCGGCATAGTATTCCTTGATGAAGATTCCCCTTCGGCTGGTTTCTTTATCCTAAAGTCCACTTTCGGATGGCACCCTCTAAAGTCCACCTTCGGATGGCACCCTCTAAAGTCCACCTTCGGCTGGCACCCTCTAAAGTCCACCTTCGGCTGGCACCCTCTAAAGTCCACCTTCGGCTGGCACCCTTTAAAGTCCACCTTCGGCTGGCACCCTTTAAAATCCTGCTTCGGCTGGTACCCTTTGTTGAAATCCATCGTCGACTGGTATCGTATGTCGGGAATCCCATTCGCTTGGCCTCAAGTTCGCCTTCGATTGGTATTCCTTCGTCAGAGCCTTCTTCGATCGGTATCTTTCTTGTGTATGTCTAACCTTGACCTGACATCCAAGAGATTTTCTCAGCTAATTACTACAATCCAAAGAAAACAAAAAATATATAATAACACCTGACTGGCTTCGGAGCGCAAATTTTTGGGTTCTTTTTGTATTTAATCTTCTTCCACCTTGAAGGTTTGAAAGGCTCGCGCCAATCTCATCTTTGGGTTGAAAGCGATTAAATAGGAGCAGCTGTTGCACCCCAAATTTTTCCCTCCTAATTTCTTCTATCTGGCTTAGACTCTCTGCATTCATCTATATTTGGGCATTTTATTTTTGGGCATAGTGAAGAGAAGTTTAGATCATGATGTTGGGGTTGCCGAAGCTTTTGATCTTATTCTTTCAGAAGATCAGTTTATATCACTTTTTCCGACCTCTTTATCGTATTTGAGGTTAATTTTGGAGAGATTTGGGGATCTGAGTCACAGAGCTTTTAAAAAGATCCCGTACTTCTATTCAAAAATCCTTTTAAAAGGTTTTAGTCAGTGGAAGAGATTTTTGTCCAAAGACATATTTGAGGAAGAGTATGGAGAATCTGTCCCATCATCTGTTCAAGAGCTTCTCTGTCTTACTGATTGTAGTCTCCTTAGAAAATCAATCAATATGTTGCAGTATCACTTTGCTCTTAATGGAGATTCTCTGAAACTGAAGAACCGTTTGAAGCTATTCAAATCCATTTGGCCCACACTTGCCTTACTACAGAAAAACATACCTCAACAATGGCCCATATAAAGGAAAGAAATATAAGTATTATGGGATACCAATGGAAACATTTTTCTCCTTTTTGAGTTCTGTTATAGTGTTTCAGATAATGATACCCATATCTCTTTACATCACAATGGAGTTGGTTAGGTTGGGCCAGTCATACTTCATGATTGAAGACATGGATATGTATGACCCTAGCTCTGGATCAAGGTTTCAGTGTAGATCATTAAATATAAATGAAGATTTAGGTCAAATACGTTATGTATTTTCAGACAAGACAGGAACACTAACAGAAAACAAGATGGAATTCCGGAGGGCTAGTGTACATGGGAAGAATTATGGGAGCTCCTTGGTTACTACTGATGATAGTTCAGCAGCAACAGCTGTTATTCCGAAACGGAGATGGAAGCTCAAATCTGAAATTGCAGTTGATCCCTAACTAATGACCATGCTGCATAGAAACTCAAATAGAGATGAAAGAATAGCTGCTCATGAGTTTTTTCTTACATTGGCTGCTTGTAATACTGTGATTCCTATACTTACTGATGGTGGATTTTCTGGTTGTGGAACAAGTGAATCAAATGGATATGTAGAATGCATTGATTATCAGGGTGAATCCCCTGATGAACAAGCTCTAGTTTCTGCGGCCTCTGCATATGGATACACTCTTTTTGAGCGGACATCTGGACATATTGTTATTGACATCAACGGTGAGAAACTTAGGTTGGATGTGTTGGGCCTACATGAATTTGACAGTGTGCGAAAGAGAATGTTCGTTGTTATTCGGTTTCCTGACAACGTGGTAAAGGTGTTTGTCAAAGGCGCTGATACATCAATGTTTAGCGTTTTGGCAAATGTCAGTGAGAGCAACAGTAGCTTATTGCATGCAACTCAGAGCCATCTGAGTGAATACTCATCACAAGGTTTGTGCACCCTTGTGGTTGCCTCTAGAAGTCTATCTGATGCTGAACTTGAGGAGTTGTAAAACAGGTATGGAGAGGCTAGCACCGCGTTAACTGACAGTGCTACTAAACTACGTCAAACTGCAGCTCTTATAGAATGCAATTTAAATCTACTTGGAGCAACTGGAATTGAAGACAAGCTGCAAGAGGGTGTACCAGAAGCCATTGAGTCCCTACGGCAAGCTGGAATCAAGGTCTGGGTTCTTACCGGTGATAAACAAGAGACGGCAATTTCAATTGGTCTTTCCTGCAAACTTCTCAGTGCATATATGCAACAAATTGTTATAAACAGCACTTCAGAGGAGGAATGCAGAAATCTTTTGGGTGATGCAATAGCCAAATATGCTGTGAGATGTTCAAGTAGAGGGAACCAGAATCTGAAGCATAAAACCAATGCTGAACATGGCGCACTTGATATTCCTAATTGTTCAAAGTCAATGAGTTTGCCCAAATGGAATCTAGGAAAGGAAGAAGGAGCTGATACTCCATTGGCACTTGTAATTGATGGGAATAGTTTGGTTTATATTTTGGAGAAGGAACGGGAGTCAGAGCTCTTTGACCTTGCAATTTCCTGTAAGGTTGTACTTTGTTGCCGTGTTGCACCCTTGCAGAAGGCTGGAATTGTTGATCTGATAAAGAGCCGCACAGATGATATGACACTGGCCATAGGTGACGGGGCCAATGATGTGTCAATGATCCAAATGACAGATGTTGGTGTTGGAATATGTGGGTAGGAAGGACGTCAAGCAGTGATGGCATCAGATTTTGCTATGGGGCAATTTGAGTTCTTGAAAAGATTACTTCTTGTTCATGGACACTGGAATTACCAACGTGTCGGTTATTTAGTTCTGTACAACTTCTACCGCAATGCTGTCTTTGTGTTGATGTTATTTTGGTATATATTATGCACGGCTTTTTCTACAACTTCTGCATTAACAGATTGGAGTAGTGTATTCTATTTTGTGCTATACACATCTGTACCCACAATTTTTGTTGGTATTTTGGACAAAGACTTGAGTCATAGGACGCTTTTGCAGTATCTGAAACTGTATAGTACTGGTTATAGGCAAGAAGCTTACAATATGCAATTATTTTGGATCACAATGCTTGACACAGTATGGCAGCACCTCAACTTATTGCAGAAGATTGGGTAGCTTGCGACAGATGCCAGAAATGGAGGCTTCTACCTACTGGCTTAAAGCCAGAGCAACTTCCAGAGAAATGGTTGTGTGTCATGCTTAATTGGCTGCCTGGGATGAATTCTTGTGACTTCAGTGAGGATGAGACAACAAAGGCATTGTATGCTTCATATCAAGTGCCGATTTCTGAGGGTCAAAATAACTTGCAAACGCATGCCTCTGAAACTGCATTTGGAGTGAGCTCTGCTGATGCATCACAGTTTGGTCTGAATCATAAAAAGTCCAATTCTAACGTGTTGCTTGACCAAGGAAAGAAGAAACCTGTTTTTAAGGAAAAGATAATGTCGGGAAAGCTCAATGCTCAAGTATCAGGAAAAAATAGAAACTTGAATCAACATTCTACAGATTCTAAACCAATGAAGATGAAACATCCCAGCAGGTCTAACAACACGATAGAAGAGAGACATGTGTCCGAAGAGAGAGAAAAGCAAACAAGTGAAGGTACCAAAAAGTATATTAAGTTGAAACGTAAGACAGATGCTGATCAAACTAGTTCTGGAACTCCTAAGAAATCAAAAACTGAACATGTTCCCTATGCTGATAAACAACCGAATCCTGGCACGGGCCTTGGGAAGGTGGTTCCAAAACAAGAGGCTGTAATACAATTTGTTATTGATGCAATTCAAGCGGAAGCTTTTAATCCCAAGACTCTGTTTCTGATTAGCAGCTATACAATTGGAAAAGAAAGGCTATTCTTGGAGGTTGCTCGTTCGCTTCGCAAAAAGGTTTACGTAACTACAGCAAAATTACGCCTTTTAAACTGTTTAGAATTTACTGAGGAGGATATGCAGTGGTTTACTTCAAATGAGCATGAAAGCAATATTCATGTTGCCCCTATGTGGACACTCGCAAGCTTCAAAAGATTGAAGCACATATCAAGTCAATATGTGAGTCGGTTCAGTCTTATAGTTGCTTTCTCTCATACTAGTTGGACATTTGGCAAAGGTAAAAAGAAGTCTCCTGGAAGAAGGTGGCAGCAGGGTACTGTTATAAGGTATGAAGTTCCTTACAGTGAGCATTCCAGCTTTACAGAACTCAAAGAGTTTGTAAATTTTGTGTCTCCCAATAACATTACACCAAGTGTGAATAATGATGGACCAGAATCTGCGGAAGCAATGGTTTCTCTCCTGTCAACTTGATTTGTGCACTAAAAGGGGTTCAGTTCAGTCTACCCTTGTAACATCTGTGTTTGAGAGTCAGGAAGTAGCTTGAGCAATATGAGCAGCAGTAACTTTTTATGCCAATCACTTTTCAGATTTGCTGCTTTGCCAAAAGGTTAAAATGTGACAAGAGAAGAAACTATATATTTTAGCAGAGGAGCTTATCTTGCTTATTTTCATGCGAAAGTATGCACGTTTATGTCAACCGTGACATAAAATCTGAAGTGATCGCTGTCCACTACATACTAAGTTGGGAAGTGTTTACAACCCCTTCCTCTGTTGATCCTGAATTAACCCAATGCTTTTTCCAGCAATAAGATGTAGCTTGTCAAAGTTCTTGCTGCACTGCAACCTGTTGGTCTTACGTTATTGTTTGAGATCTTTAACATTTGGTTGCAGATAACAAATGCTTAGCGCTTTAAAAAACCTCTATAGCCTGTATTATTTGTGTAATTTTGCTTTGTACTTTAAATTCTCAGCTTTCTACATTCTTCTGTAACTGATCACATAATAGTTAACAATTATTTGGATGCTTGATTATGCACTTAGACAGGTTGTGTCCAAATTAACAGCTCATCAATCTCCTCCTAACAACTTTATAACTCTCTAACTACCTCCAAACAGAATTGCCAACTAGCATAACCACCTTGTAACCAACTCTCAATCTCACCCTTCAATCCCTAACAAACTCTATCCAAATCAATGGTTCAGATTGATTCCCACATAACCGTTTCCTCCCTCAACTACCTATATAATCCAAACCCCCTCCAAGTTTTGAGGGGACGAGGCCACTCTCTCTTTTCCAGTTTCAGAACTTCATCATTGTATCAGCTTCAAAACAACTTCTTCCCTCTCCATCATTCACTCTCAATTTTCTGAACTCTCATAATCTTCAAATTCCCCTCTCTAGACTCCTTCTTCGCCTCCACTCTCCATTGTTCGACCTCCAGTTAGTTCTCAAAGCTTCACTTCTCTCTGATTCATCATACAAAGTTCATTTTTCTCAACTCGCGATAATCTTCATAATTGTCATCATTTCCGCTCTTCTCCTATCGCCAACGCACGCAACTCCCAGACCAAAGAAAAGTGAAGACAGTGAGGAGAGAATCAAGACGAAGCAAACAAGATCAAGAAAAACAATAACTGTATTACTTCACCTCTGGATTTCCGAAGCGCTACCAACGTGCCTTCGATAGGTAATTCTCAATCTTCTTCTTTTTACGATTTTTTTTTGCTTGGTCTGTACCATAACCGCGAAGGATAAAATGCGGCGAATGATAAATCCACCATGTAATCTTGACCGGAAGAAATGTAGAGCTTAAGTTTCGTTGTTAGATTCGGAATAGAGGAAGAGAAATTGACAAAAGCAAGCAAAGGAATCGAATTCAGAGGGAGACGTTAGGTGGTGTTAACAAGAAAGTTGAATCGGAACAGGGGAGAAGGGGTGGAGTCATGGCGGCACCGCCATTGTTGTTGTCGACATGTAGAAGAAAGGCTTTCTGTGTAAAGGAGCTGGAAGGGGTCGTTTACAGCAAACGCCGTCGTTTTGGAATTCTGTTATTTCTTTTTCTCCTTTTATTATTATTCATTTATTTAATTGTTATTTCAAATAGTTAAATCAAAAAAAAAAAAAGAGGAGAACTTATTATATTCTTTTTATTATTTTGCCTTTGGAAATTAATTCATAATTATTCGGTTACTCGAAACTGGTAATTCACTTTGCTCGTCAAGATTCGAGTCTTATGCAGGTTTTTATATGGATATGTTCGAGATGCCGATTGTGATTCATTTTCACATTAAAAGATGCTTCAGTAATGGGGTTTCTGACTCTTTTCTTTGTTGGTGCTAGCAGCTCGCAAGAACATCAAGTATCTTTGCTTTTTCTACTTTGCTCTACGGGCTAGTATCCGTTTGGTATACTTTCTTTCTATTTTACCTCGCATTTATCTTTTCCCATAGATCATATGAAGTGTGATAGAATCAGGTTTAGGCTAGACTCCCTATAACGTTTCTTTCCCTTTTCGCATATGCATTTATAATAAGAAAAATTTCTTTTTTTACAAAAACTTCAAAAATACAAAAAAGGGGAAATTTACTGACAAGAACCACGTCTTGGCTAAGTTTGAGAGATGATAAGCGGGTTTCTTCTCGACCTTATTATTCTCTTGTTCTAAGCTTTGGTATGGTTCAAGTCTCAAAGACTCATTTCATGAATAAGTAGAGACATGGCTAAAATCTCTCTCTTGAGATCAACTAGCTATTATTTACAAGCAAAAATACCAACCAATACAAACTCTTTTTGCCTTCGGGCCCTTCCTTTCAAAAACTTTTCAGAAGAGTGTGTTAATTCACTTCTGTGCTGACGCGTAAATCTCCAAAGGTCGAGTTGCGGCAGAAGGCGAAATCACTATCGTTCATTCAAAAAACAAACGAATTCAAAACTTTTTGTGTGTCCAGGCACATTTCTTTCCAAACTTTTTAGAAGAGCATGTTAATTCACTTCTGTGCTGACGCGTAAGTCTCCAATGGTCGAGTTGCAGCAGAAGGCGAAATTAATATTGTTCAGTAAAAAATACAAATAAACAAAAACATATAAGCCGAACTACGGCTGCTCTGATTCCTTAAAAGGGATACGTAGGCATTGGGGTAGGGCCCAAGCGAGCACAACAATTTTATTTTCCCTACATTCTTTTCTCTTTTCTTTTGCATGCATTCCCTTCAGTAGTATAGTAAACAGTAAGCATAGATTAAACACACCCATAAGATAGATAACAAGAGTGGATACCGTAGAGTACTACGGGTGTGTGGGGTGCTAATACCTTCCCCCCGCGTAACAGACTCCCTTACCCGATCTCTCAGTCGCAAGACCGTGACTTCTCCCTCATCAGGTTTTCTCGATGTTTACCTTTCCCTACATGTGGGATAAAAGACGTTTGATGGCGACTTCATTGTTTTGATGATTTTCAGCCGGTTGTTTCAGCTGGCGACTTCACTGGGGAATAGGTCGACCAAACGCTGGTCCGTCCCGGAGTCGCTCCTAGCTCTTGATTTCTTTTCTTAGGGTGTTTATTTTTTTATGCTTTCAGTTCATTCGTTCATTTTTTAAATACACCTGTGCATATGCATGTATTACACTCTACTGCCTTCCATATACTGCTGTTGTACTGTATCTACTTCTTGCTTGGGTGTGAATGTTACTATTGAGGTAAAAGGCCCAGTACCCAGGCCAGAGTGCACTAGGACACCTAGGAATAGAGTGGGGGCATGACGGCTATAGGACGTGGTCCGATTAGTGCAGTCATGTCATATACCACGCTCGAAGGAGGTTCAATTGAAGGTACTTTCATCATGCACGTCTGTGTTGCGATGATTTTA